CTGTAAGAAAATAGCAGAGTGCTGAGGTTTAAGTCATGAATTACGAAATGATGTTCGTTTGGATATAGGCGGATTCTCGATTGTTAGTCGGCAAATGTGGGTCTGTGAAGATGGGTCTGTGAGGGTGGGTCTGTAAGGGTGGCAATGTGAGGGTGGGTCTGTGAAAGTGGGTTTGTAAGGGTGGGTCTGTGAAGGTCGGTCTTTTATAATACTTCTGTCTATGAATATGGGTCTGTGAAGGTCGGTTTATAAAAGTGGGTCTATAAAGGTGGGTCTTTTATATTGGGTCCGACTTTAAAGGCGGGTCTATGAAGGTGGATCTGTGGGGGTGGGTCTATAGGTGGGTCTGTGAAGGTGGGTCTGTGTAGGTGGGTCTGTGTAGGTGGGTCTGTGTAGGTGGGTCTGTGTAGGTGGGTCTGTGTAGGTGGGTCTGTGTAGGTGGGTCTAAAGGTGGGTCTGTGTAGGTGGGTCTGTGTAGGTGGGTCTGTGTAGGTGGGTCTAAAGGTGGGTCTGTGTAGGTGGGTCTAAAGGTGGGTCTGTGTAGGTGGGTCTAAAGGTGGGTCTGTGTAGGTGGGTCTAAAGGTGGGTCTGTGTAGGTGGGTCTGTGTAGGTGGGTCTGTGTAGGTGGGTCTAAAGGTGGGTCTGTGTAGGTGGGTCTAAAGGTGGGTCTGTGTAGGTGGGTCTGTGTAGGTGGGTCTGTGCAGGTGGGTCTGTGTAGGTGGGTCTGTGTAGGTGGGTCTAAAGGTGGGTCTGTGTAGGTGGGTCTGTGTAGGTGGGTCTGTGTAGGTGGGTCTGTGTAGGTTGGTCTGTGCAGGTGGGTCTGTGTAGGTGGGTCTGTGTAGGTGGGTCTAAAGGTGGGTCTGTGTAGGTGGGTCTGTGTAGGTGGGTCTGTGCAGGTGGGTCTGTGTAGGTGGGTCTGTGTAGGTGGGTCTAAAGGTGGGTCTGTGTAGGTGGGTCTGTGTAGGTGGGTCTGTGCAGGTGGGTCTAAAGGTGCGTCTGTCTCTTGACATGACGAAGGTACCAATTAGTGCTGGGTGGGCTCAGACACGTTCTATCAACTAGAACCCCGATCCGAACTAGAGATTTTCGGGTTAGCTGTCTTGCTGTTAATTAACAGTAAATAATACATAACCGGATAGTGTGAAGTGTCAACTTATGGCTGACCTTACAAATGGTACAAGTAGTATAGTTAATATACGACAACAACCTAGGTAAAGGAAGTCGGTACTATGCACAGCTTCCTAAACTTCCCACTAACTAGAGTTGGGTACGCATTAGAGCTGGATAAGTAAATAGATGTTGGTTGCACAAAACTATAGACAAATAGCCTATTTATTCTTTTGGTTAAATAACCGTATTTGATAAACATACGGTATTACGACTGCTAAAAAAAAAAAAAGTTCAGTATGTTTGCTAATTAAAAAGTTTTTGATAAGTGATTGTGAATCAAAAATACTTCAATTAAAAAAACACATACGGTATATATATATATATATATATATATATATATATATACATCAATACATATATATATATAAATAGTGTATATCTGTCATTTATGTATCAGTCCATTATTTAAAGAACTATTTTAAAAAAAAACATAATTACTTTAAAATTCAAGAGACTTACATTAATGAAGAGCCTTGCTATGTATGCCACACAATGAGATGCACTTAGCACCAGGATAATTTCTATCTTCACGTCTTCATTGGGCGGCTCTACATGTTTACATTGGATGGGTGCAGTTCCCTCTGAGTTTTATTTATACTCATATATAAGAATATGTAGCCGTTAATTTTTTTTAAAAAGCTGATTGGTGTCTGAAACATGTATTTTGTTTATGGTTAGTTACTAGAATATGGGTATCAGAAGAAAGGCCGATATCCAAAATAGCCGACAGGACAAAAGACCGACATTGAATTTGATGTTAATCGCGGATCCCTGGCCGAGAAACTAATTACCGAAGAAAGTGACGCCTATGGGGAAACAACTCTCATTTCTAATCATAGGGGAGATTAGCCGACAGCTACAGACACTGCTTGACACGGTGCAAGTTTTAACGTAAGACACGCCCTCTTTCGTTTTGCTGTCTGTAGCTTAGCTCTTGTTATACAAATATTGTTGAAGATTAACCACGATGAATGATTGATGTTAATAAATATATATGTCGACATAGTTTGTTCACACGACAAAATGGTCAAAAATCAAATAAAATAATAACATCTAGTTTGGCTAATATGTAAGGAAATGTCTGCAAAAAAAAAACAATTTATCTTTTATATAAGTTAAATAGATAATGCAAACATGACAAGGTAAACTGACTCAATAAGTTAAATTTCTGAGGCAAAAAAAGAGAAAAATACATTTTAATTTTTTTTTTATTTTACTAAAAATATCTCAGTTAATATTTTCGCAGTTTTAAGATATAACATATATTATTGTTTTAAAATATTTTAAGCAAATGTTACATCTTTCCCAATTGTAATTTTAAAGTAAAATTAACATTAAATGCTGCTCTGAGTTTAATACGAGGATTCAGTTTTTAGTGAATATTACAATAACCCAAGGCAATCAGGATTTTGTTGTATTAAGTAAAGTTTTAAAACGTTCGTTTTCGCTCGGTACACTGTCGTGCAGTGCTGCAAACGTTAGATAACTCTTAATATCACAGTATACTATTTAGTGTGTTTATTGTTGTAGACTGTCTCCCTTTTATAAATAAAATATCAACACGACTTTGATTAAAAAGTAAGCGTAATTACTAACAAATATAAATCAAAACAATCTGGAATAATAATAGGTTTATTAAGAAATATATATTGTCAATTTAAATATAACTGAAATTCGCCATAATAAATATGTAGGTCAAAACAATATTTAATTTTTAAAACGTACGTAAATTTATAGAATAAAATACATTTTTACTTGTGTTAACTTTCAAAGTAAAAATTAGACAGTGATTACATGAATTGACAACAAACATAAAGTCTACTCCTTTATTGTACGGTTTATAAGATTTTTTAAAATTATTTTAAATCGAATATACACTCTTGTATAAATGATAATTTAAATGAGGTTATAATAGCCTAGCTTGAGCAATGTATTGGTCGTATATTGTGTTTATTGAAACCAAAAAAATAAAATGTTACCATAAAAACAATGATTCAATTGACTTTGTATGTAAGTTTAATTTAGTGCAGATTTGTATAAGCGTCCCCCTAAAAAATAAAATAAACCTAAAACGTTTTTTGAACCGGGTGGCTATCTTCTTTTTTTTAAAATCTAGAACAGTATGTGTTTGACAAGCCCTTTTTGTATTGAAGTGTAGATCAAAACATGAACATAACACAAGAGCAAAAAATGTAACATTTTCTGTGAATGGTTCGTGTTTAACTATTTTAGCAGCATCACGTTTAACATCATAAAAGATCAATTTACGATTGCAGAAAATATCAGCTTCAAATATAATTTTTAAACAATTAGCATCACTGTTATATGTAAAATATGGTACTTCCATGGTTTCAAAAATACGTGCAGTAACTATATAATTGACCGGGTTAGAGTTAATTGATTATAGCCCCTGCAATGCTTAGTTGGCTTTTATTGATTTCTTTTGATAATTGTAAACAATAATGTATCGATCATTTCATTTTGCGCTAACATTTTTCATTTGAACCGCTATATAATTCAACGGTTATTATTGTGCAGTAAATTGTAATCAATGTTAGAGAAGTTGAATGGAATAGGGCTGGTAGGTAGGTCACCAACCACTTCTACGGCTCAACAAAACCTGCATGAGCCATAGAACTAGTTGGTGACCTACTTACCAGCCCTATTGGAAGATGTGGGTTCTGGTTAGAAGATGGCTACTTCAGTGGGGAAAAACACTGGGACGGCTTAGATAGGAAGGCGTATTTTGTGAGCTATACGAATATTTCCAAGTTGTATAGGTTAGTATTGGGCATATATTTTTGATCAAGAAAATCTGAGGTTTTATCAACTTAAATAAAGTTAGGTGTATCTTTTCGCTCACCAAAGGTTACTGGGTAAATGCAAGTGAAAGAAGTCGTTGAACTAATGCAACCCATTTATAAACTAGTCTAACATAAATTCATTTTCATCCTTTAATTTTATAAACAGCCACTGTTGTATACATTTTTGAACGCTAATAATTACTTGGACAATTTTAAACAGAGATTTATAATTTGACAATCTACTTTAAGTTGACTACAACATCTAATACGTATAGTCTTTTTTTTTATTTAACCACACGCCATCTTAACAAGTTACTAATGTTAAAAAAAACAAATATTCATGCTAAGTTTATGAATGGTTTACTAATCTTTTCAAGAAATGGGATATAGATAACTGTCACAAGCTTGTAAAGAGTTAAAAGTTTGGTAAAAGCAAAAGTTTCGTTTTAACAAGTGAAGAAGTATAGCATGAATGATATATTTTATTACACCATTACATTAAAAATACAACATTATCATTATTCGAAATGTATAACAGCATTACATTTAAAGCACTGAATATCTACTCAATACGATAGGATAAAAGCTAGTTATTTTAAAAGCGGGTAAATTACTTTATTTAATTTAAACAATAAATGAATATGTATCACAATATAGATGAAAAATATCATACAAACAGATGTAAATATATTATTAAAAGACAATGATGATAATGACAAAGAAGGATTTTTTCCCAATTTCACCTGTTTGTATACTAGATCAGGTGGAGAAAATAAAAACACGCATATTATAATGGTGTTGTAATTGTTTCAAAAGTTATAAACTAATAATCTTAAATAAATAGAAGAGCAAGAGAAGTCTTAGACATTCTAAAATATAAAAGAGAGTTTACTGATTTATAAAGAAAAATATTAAATTTTAAAATTGTTAAATATTGTTACTTATATCGTTGCATGTTTACCTGCTTTTGAAATAGTTTTAATGACGAATCACAACTGTTTGTTACACTTGAAATAAATGTTTATC